GTTAAAGAGCCAGCAGAAAGGATATGCTGAGCTTCGCCTGGCTGGTTCACAGCTCACACACAACACAAGTGTTTTGTCTGGTAGGAAGACGGTGTGTGTGCTGCTCTCCTCGTCTTTTTTTACAAGATCTGCTCTTTGAGAAGACTCTCACTTTCCCTTCTCCGTGCTTTCCTCACCATATTAACTGCTATCTGTCGTTCTATCTTTCCCCTTAATCCTTTGTGTCGGGGGGAAAACATACATGGCAAATTCAGGTGGTGACAGCGTTGGTGGAGGAGGGATGAAAGGAGGAGAGGTGGACAGAGAGGGAGAGATACAAGAAACAGTAACTAACCAGATTCCCTGCCAGTTGGTGTGTCCTCAGATCTGCATAAAGACTCTCTTTGTGTTAAACTAAATCTTTATCGCATCATTAAACCGTGACAGGGAGAGTAAGTTGAGCCCAGAAAATGGTGGTAAAGACACAGAATAATGAAATCAGATCTGAGATGAGATCCAGATCCAGATCCAGCTTTTTTTCAAACTTCACCCATGTTAGAGGCTAAATGTCTCTGATATTCTCAGCTGCATCAATGTTTCTGACACTTTCTGGCTCTGTTGTTGTTCGTATTCTCTGGTTGTCTCTTCTCTTTTGTTCCAGGCAGTCAGAAGGTGGAGCTGATGCAGCATCTGTGCTCAACGAGGCCTGCAAAATAATCTCCCTCTCTGCTTCCCCGTTGTTTATCTTTTTGTTTCAACTCTCTCGCTCCTTTGTCAAAAAAACACTCTGTTGAGAGACGGGTCTATTTAATAGCTGTTCTTCATAGCTTTCAGTCATATCACATGATCTTCTTCAACAGATTAAATGAACGTTGGAGGTCAGCTTTCAGCATGGACAACAAGTCCTTGAAGTGTGCGTATCATGTGACATGATCGATAGCTCCAGAACAGCTTTTAAAGAAACCGTGTAAACCATTGTTTTTAAGAACAAGAATGAACTTTGAAGACCACTGCCCGACTTTAAAAAAGGTCCCAGGCAACAGAAGACATTACACAACTTATTATACGTGTAAAAAATGTGGTAGTGTACCTTTAAAAGAGTTAGCGCTGCACTCCTTTCATAGAAAATGTATTAAAATCGATGCAGTAGAAGCAGAGGTTATTTTTCTCCCTAGTTAAAACTTGCTGCCTACTTTACCCACAATGCAACTCGTCCCACTGCACAGATTCAGGTGTGTTAAGCTGAACTCAAGTGACATCACTTGAGGCTTTATAACTTTGTTTAATAAACAGACTTATTTTTCTGACCACACAACAACAACATTCCTCTTTGTTTGAAACTTTATTCATAATCTTCATTTACCAATCAATAGTGCATTCCCGGGCTAGAAGTTCAGTAAAACCAGTGATGGAGGCCTGTGATGTTTGGATGTTGAATGTGGGGAGGGGGAGGCCTCTTGGGAGCGAGGCAGGAGACAAAAACGCAGTCATAGCCTCGACGCCACCCCCCCCAGCTTTATGTCCTTATTTATTTTTTTTCTCTCCATCACCAGAGAAACAAACAGGATGGAGATCTGTGGCTGTGAGGAGCAGCTCTGCGCTCCGGAACGAGTCCCTCAGAGTTCTCCTCCACTGCTGCGTTAACTGGTCGTCTTACTGTGCACAAACAGACGAGTCGGATGAAAGGTCACTCGAACAGAAGGGGGGAGAGGGGTCAAAGGGCGTTGCACACACTCTGAGCCGGTTCTGGATCCCTCAATGATGAAGAGGGACGTCAACAGAAATACCAACAAATACAGACACAGTCACAAAGCAGCTCTGTGGAGGAGCTATAGTAAAATTCTCTTTTCTATCTCTTGCTTTTCTTTTCCGTTTCATAAAGTAATTCAGTAAATTAAAGCTTTTCACGACCATAAAACTTTCTATTTTTGTTATTTTTTTGTACATTTGTATCATATATTCACAAAAACTACTCTGACATTTGACAAACATTTACCTCAAATGACATCAAAGCAAAAGAGAAAAAATAACACAGCCAGTAGTTTGACTTTTTACGTCTCTTTTTTGTTGTGCTTTTTGTTGTTTCTTTTCAAAGCTACACTGATGCAGAGACCAAGAATCTCTTTTTGCACAGACAGCGTGTTGTCAGATTATGCTCACAATTACAGCCTCGGAGTCAGCGCTGCCATTATATCAAGAACTGAATGAACCTGCTTTATGTGCAGCTAGTTATCCCCAAGGCGGCCGTAGCACATGTTGAGCTAGAATGACTTAGCACAGTGAGACAAAAACAAGATGGCAGACTGGTGCCATGGAGAGAGGACCACGGGAGGAGACAGATCCCCGAGGGGGCCCGTGGGTGAGTAGACTCAGCCCAGGCAGCCATGGAGACTGCAGGTGTTATTATACTGTTTTGTTGATTTATTTCCTCTGGGACACCAGGGGAAGAGGGGAGAAGAGAGTACAGAGTGAGGAAGGTTTCTGTACCTGATGTTGGAACCCCAGAGCTGAGCGATGCTGACAAACTCGAATGTTTCTGACTCTGTTCTTGAGAATTGTCACATTATTTTGGGGTGTGATAATTAGTGTTTACACCAGTGATTTGTCAGCTATCGGTCAAACAAGTAGCGGCATCGAACTAATTTCACTAAGCAAGAAAAAGTGAGATATCTTAAAGGGAAAGTTCAACGTTTGTGTTCACTTTCTTGCTGGGAGATGAGCAGTGAATTCAACTGGTTGCCTGGCAACGTAACCTGACTACACCAGATGGTTTGTTACAAACAAACGATCTTTGCTGGAAACTGTTTGGAAAAGAGGAGGCACTTTCAGAAAAATACTTGGCAGGTGACTTCAACCAATCAGATCAATGAAACATATAACGTAGTCGAACCAGCAGCATCTATGCTAACCTCTCTAGCAGCCGCCATTGTTGTTTTCGGGCAAACAGTCACTTTTCACTCACATCTAGCGTTGAACCTCGTCCGTAAGTCACGCTGTAGCTGCCAGAAGTTCCTCAAAGGACGCTGATTGGTCTGTGATTATCTACCAACTGGTCCCGGCCATAAAAATGTCAAATTGTTATTTTTAGAACATCAGTTTTTTGTAAATATTAAAACCAAACAAAATATAAAATGTTAATTTGTGATCTTTAGAGGTGCTGGAAGGTGGGCCAGGCTAGCTGTTTCCCCCTGTTTCCAGTCATTGTGCTAAGCTAAGCTAACCGACTGCAGCTTCATGAGACTGGCATCTATTTTTTCATCTGACTCTCAGTAAGAAAGTGAATAAAAAGAGTTCCCAAAATGTCAAACTTTTCCTTTAAGCAAACATTGCCGTGTTCCCTGTACACTATATAACGATGTGGACTAGATACGAGCCAATCTCTGCAGATGGAAATCCCTCTCAGAACAGTGGAGATTGTGGCAGATTAATGCCTGATCATATATTACGTTCAGCCATATGA